ATGGGGAAGTGGTCACAAGAGAAGTGGTCAGTGACATTGGAAGCACACACATTTAACTGAAGAATAAGCTGGACTGCTGGGAAGATGGTCAGAAATCCTCCTAGTCATGAACAAAGAACAAGCAGGGTACAGATTTTCTTGTTCATGATGATGGTATAATGAAGATGGTTACATATAGCAACATAATGATCATAAGACATGGAAGTTAGAAGATAAAATTCAGAGACACCCATGAAGATGAAGAAAAAAATAATTGCACTCAACAATTGTAAGAAATTTAGTAACGATTTTCCCAGTAACCTGGGTATGGGTATAGTGTTGAAGGTAGTCTCTAAGAAAGAAATTCCAGTGGAAGTAATACACAGGAGTCTGTATACTAGAATCTACAAAGCTGAGAATGATAACAATTACAACATATATGTTATAAGTAAAAAAGATAATGATTGTAACTGGAAGCTCTGGATAGTCTGATATGCCTTAGAGTACAGACTCTGTAATTATTATATGGTTTCTCATATTGGTTTATTTTTACTTTTTTGGAAAAATCTACTGGTAAAAAACAAAATATAAAGAAAGAATGAGTAAATATTAAAGAATTAAAAATTAAAATATTTACATTAATATCCCCTATGGCTAAAAGCAATGGTCCTTTTTCCTCTTTCAGCTATTTTCCCAGTATCTACTCACTTTTATTAAAGTGAAAACAATTTAATATATCCTTTGTTCAAAAAGAAATGTATCCACAGATCCATGTTACAACTCAAATGAGTTTTGATGCCTATAACCTCTACGAACAACCAAATTTTCTGTTTGCAATATATTTTTAAATCATTAATTTTCATACCAATATTTATGAGTTACATCCATAGTTTTGGGGTCCTGATGTGGCACTGTAGGATAAACAGTGGACTGCTAACCTTAAAGTTGGCGGTTCCAACCCGCCAGCCTCTCCTCAGAAGCCCTATACAGGGTGGTTGTGAATCTGAACCAACTCAATGACACAAAACAACAGCATCTGTAGTTTATATACTGTGGTATTGTCTTCCAATGTCTAATATCCTATGATTTTAGAAACTAAATATCTACTTTTTAGTTTTTATTCCTGTGTGATTTTAAAACTTGGTCTACTACGTCTTTGGTATATATTAGTTTCCAATCACAAATCCTAAATTTAGTAATATATACAATGATTTTGGGAGTGTGGTGGCTCTGTAGGATAAGCACTGGACTTTGAAC